CCCCAAAACCCCAAAACCCCAAAACCCCAGAAGAGATTATTCTGTAAATGCTGTGGAAATTAGGAAGTGATTTATAATTCAATTAAACTAATGACAGAAGAAATTAAAATTGTTCAAAATTTAGAAGAATTCAATCAGCTTATACACACTAAGACCTATAATCCTAAATATAAAGCATTCTACTCCTCATATACTAGACAGTACACGACTGGTACTAAATGAAACCATAACATTTTTAGATCCTGCTTAAATGAGAGCATTTATCGGTGATGAAATAGTAAGCAATGGTCATGCATTGTTCGATAATGGTTAAGTCAGAGATGGATATATTTTACACTTGGAATAGCATTTAGATAGGATGTACAAAGGTGCCAAAAATATCAGAATGGATTCTAATATGCCTCATACTAGAGATGAGATTAGATAGATAGTCAAGAATGTAGTGGCTTTGTCGTAGAGTAGAAATTGTGCAATCAGATATTTCCTCAGTGGGGGTGTAAATGGAAAAGAACCCTAATTCTACATTATTCGTATGAATTCAGCTAGTATTAATATACCCCATTATAGTTGAAGAAGGAGTTCCTGTGAAGCCAATTGATGGGACTAAAGACTTCACATTTGTGAATCCATTTGAAAAGGATGAGCTTATGAGAATGAAGACTACAAATAACATTGAGCTATGCACTTTCAAAAAGATCATCAGTGAGAAGAACAAATTAGCTTTTGGGATTATCTAAAGATCTGATCAAGCCTTAGAGGTATAAAACTACTTACAAACCCTAAATGATTCGATTCTTATATTGGCTATTAGAGACCAAGAAAGACTTAATTTTCATTTTGAAGGAGGAGTTAAGAGAGTAGATGACGATAAATTGCTTTTGATTCAGGAACTATCTCAAAGAGGCCATGCTATTCATGACAATCAAAAAATAGTGGTCTTTAGGGATGATGAAATGACTGAATTTGTGACTAACTTTGTTGGGTTATTCAGATTAGAAGAGTCACGAGTATTTCAGATCAGTTCAATTAATGAAACTCAGCTACCTCTGGATGAGGATACTTATCAGATTTTAAATGATGCTTGGACTTAGGTCTTATCTAGAGATATCTTGATTATTTGATTTGCTTGCATTAATTTCTTATTAGAAGTAATTTTAGATATCATCTGGATTAGGGGTTTTGGGGTTTTGGGGTTTTGGGG